TACAAGAGTTTTACCAAAAGGTTGGTGAAGCTTGGGAGGCTCAACAAGGATGAGCCACATATGTAATTTACCTATTGGAAATGGCTAAAAGGCACTTCCCCCATACCTGAATAGGATTGTTAACTGCCAGACAACTCAAGGCATTTTATTGCCTCCTGTTGGCCAAACACCTGAGCAGCTGTAGGCTATTCCCCAAACTGACAGTGTTTCTGTATATCCTTTGATACCTTACCCTTTGAAGTGTATATTTCCACCTTGCCTTGGGACAAACTTTGTTTAATAAAAGCACGGGCTCCTAAGACAAGGAGAGTCTTCTAGCTCCTTCAGCTGAAGCTCCTCTGACCCCCAATGCCTTTCAAAACTATCTTTTGTCCTTGGACTCCTTCTTTAATCATCTACCCTCAACCCTTTTCTCCAGAATGCTGAACTCTTTGTAAGGCTGGGAAAAGAACCCTGGCATTATGGTGCCCTAATGAGGGACACCAACAAATTACCAAGTAAAACTAAATAAAAAAATAAAAAATTACTTCTAGACCTCTGTTCTATATCTGCCCAGAACTGCCTTGTGGTCACTCTGAGGCCTTGTCTGCTCCTTCCTCCACCAGGGTTCAATCTCTGGGGTCTCTCAAACACACACTCCCCCACCTCTGCACTCTGTAACCACAGCAGTACCCCAACACACCCCAGCATTAACTCAAGGATTGGATGACAGACCCTATGGCAACGTTAGGTAATGAACATGATAAAAAAGTGAGCTAAGACAATGGGACTAACCAGGGCCACCCGGTGAGCAGGTCACAGAAGAGTGGAAGAACTTTCTGTGCTAGAGTTCGGGCCAGTTGTTCTTATAGCATTGAGCCAAACGACTTCTTCACACGATTATATTGACAAAATTTGATTAAATTCAAAACCATCACCACCTCTGGGCATTTTGGAGACAGTGACTGATTTCTTGATCTTGAATACTTGCTTTAAATTGAAAGAACCTCTAAAATAGGAACAATGTTCCCATAAAATACACAATATGCAGAGAACACAATAAGGGCTAAACTAACCTTGGTTTTAGCTGACTCATTTGAAAAACCAAGATATATAGACGTAGGTCTGAAAAAATAAACATATCATTTATTTTTCTGACACTAAGGTAACTGTTTTGGATTTTTTTTTTCCCTTTTTAAATTTACCTCATTTGAGGCCAATTTCCATCTTAGGTGGACACAGAGGCTGAAGAGGCCATCTGAAAGGTGGTAACTGAGCCCCTAGAGCAGGGGTGGGGAACGTCTGGCCAGAGGGCCATATAAGGCCCAAGAAATCATTTGGTCTGGCCCTGACAAAGCATTAGGGTTGAGTTGATTAAATGTTTGGCCAAATATAGCAAGCTAATGTTTAAGTTGATAATTTTGTATGGCCCTTGAATAATGTTATAAATATCCAAATGACCTTTGGTAGAAAAAAAGGTTCCCCACCGCTGCCCTACACCAACCTTCTATTTTATTTTTAGTTCTTGAACAGGGTACCAATTAGAGATGGATTTCTAGATCAGTATGCGACTGCATGATTTTAATCTTCTCTGCTTCTGTGAACTCAACTCATATCAAGAAGCTAATTAAAAGGAATCACACTCTAATAAAAAAAGAACGCTAATTGCTGATACACAGCTCAACTGTCAGAAATTAGATAGTGGCTCTGGTATAACTGATTTGATATGAGAACAAGACTCAGAGACCTTCAGTGGGAAATGACGACGGGTGGAAAGATGGGAGGCGGGCTAAGGAGGTCTGCGCTGGCTGCCCGCTCCCTAGCAGGCCTTCCCTGTGAATTCTCAGCCTCTCCCCGTTGTGCAGGGTCTCCAAAGGTCAGCACCTGAGGGCTCTCGTGGGTCCTCTGCAATGTTCTTTCCTCAAACTGTTCTTAGAATTCCCATCCACTTTTCATGCCCTCCACGAAGACCTGTGTGAGATCCTCACATATCTTACCTCCACTCCTGATTGCTCTCCCACAAATTTAGGACTGCATTTCCAAAACTTTTTGAACATCTATTGTCATCTCAAATTCAGCGTATTCAGAGCCAAACTCATGATCATCAACTGATTTCCCTCCCTGACTCCCTCCATCCCTCCCTCCATTAATTGGCCCTGAGGAAGGCCTGGAGCACAGATGAGGACAAACCACTTCTGACCTTAAGGAGCTCAGAGTCTGTACCCAAAATGGATCCAAGTATCCTACCTACCCTAAAAAACAAACAAACAAACAAACAAAAAACTTATTTTGTGCACAAAGCAACCAAAGCCAAGAGAGATGGAATGGCTTGTTTAAGATCATGTTGGCTATTGGCAAAGCTTGAAGTTAAACCCAGGACAAAGGAGAGAGAATCAGAAACATCAATAATGAAAGGGAATCATTGATCGCCTCCTCCACACCCCACACAGGTGATCAAGCCCATAATCTGGATATATACCCTGATCAGGAATCGAACTGTGACCTCCAAGTTTATAGATACTCAACCATGCCGGCCAGACCTAATCTAATTTCTTATGTTCTCTATGGCTGCTTGCTCCAGAAAAACCGGTCATTGTATTGTTATATAATATGCCATGAAGCAAATAGCCTCCTTTTTCTTTGTTCTCACAATTTCTTCAGCTAGAAACATTCTCCCTCTGCCTCTCCACTTAATTAAATCTTACCCTTCCTCCAACATACAGCTCATATCTCACCTCCTCTATAAATCCTTTCCTAACTCTCTCATCCCAAACTACTAGAGCATTTATTTACTGTCCCAGAAAACCCAAATCTCAACAGTGGAAAATACCCATAGTTCACATTTGGGTCAAAAGCTAATAAAATGGCAGCATTTTCTCATCAAATACCTTCAAAAGTAATTTACAAGGTAAGATTATAGTGCACTCACAAGAACTGTATCTCTATAAATCTGTCAAGACCTTTAAGAAGGGGGTGGGAGGAGATTTAAAATCAATAAATAATTCACCAACATTGAGATCTGCTGTTTTGACCAGAATAATTTTATGAAGACACTGGCAAAGTTTCATGCCTTCATTTCATTTTGCAAAAAAAATGTCATGAACCAGCTTATGAGTAATACTATCATGAGAAGAAAACCTGCATAGTGTAAAGACAAAATCACTATAGATGCTATACACACCGCAATACTTTATCTCCCCTTCCTGTTTCTGGTGATTTTTCCCCACACGATACAAACAAAATAGTCTCATTTAAAAGATATCATTTCTATGTATCGCTGTTTAAAGAATGTTTTTCTCCATCCTGGTGAAAATATGCCTTGTGATAACACCCAATTCAGTTCCTATCCAGCATTCAAAAACAGTTATTAAATGCCTTACTTTAATATACATATGTCTCTATCATGAAGCTTTGGGTAATGAAAGTAAGCACGAGGAGAGGAAAAACCAAGATAATTCTAGTCTTTCTACTTCTGGATTGGAAACATACAAGACTTGCCTGTGTGCCTCCCACACCTCACTGGCCACCAATGTCTGCTGTCCCGGAGTCCCACTCCCAGAAGGATATGAGCTCCAGGACAGTACTCACCAGCCCGGGTCTCCAGCGCCAGCTGGGAAGACCCCAGGACTGTCCACACCCTGGGCCATACTGTTTGTTCCTGCTGCCTCCATCCCGCTCAGCCATTTGCTTGCTTGGACTTGTAATGCCTTCCTGGTCTTTTCAACATTGTTGGGATTGACCTACTTTAATAGGTGTCTGCTCTATCCCTCCAACACTGTATGTGCAGCCTGATTTAACCTCTTGCTGGTTTAATCCATCATGTCTGACTATCCCTTTGCTCAACTGAGCAGCAGACAGTCTTCTCATGTGAAAGAAGATTCAGCTCCAACCCACGTCTCCAGCCTATTTTCCTACGGGAGCCCTTTCCGTCAAACAGCCTGACCCACGCACAGATCCCTGAATGAGCCATGCCATGCACACCCCCAATTTTGTTTCCCAAAAGTCCCCATCCTGCAAGATGGACCCAATTCAAGGCTCTGCTCTCAAGAATCCTTCTCCAGCTTCTCAGTCTGACAATCAGCCTGGCCTCTGAACCAGTGTGCCGCCTGCCTGCCTTAGGGACTCCAGCAGCAGGTCTCACAAAACACAACAGCCCCAAAGAAGGCTTCATCAATGTCTGGTACACACACGGGGTGCCTGGTATAGTACATACAGTCAGTAATATTTATTGAGTGGGTTAAGGACAGAGTAGTTTTCAACCAAGCAATTTTGCCCACCAGGGGGACATGTGGCAATGTCCAGAGATAGTTTTGGTTGTCACGACCAGCATCTGGTGGGTCAAGATCAGAGTTGCTATGAAATATCCTACAATGCACAGGACAAAGATTATCCAGCCCCAAATGTCAATAATGCAGAGATTGAGAAACCCTACACTACAGTCAGGCTAATCAGAGATCAATTTCTAACCACTGATACTAACTGCTTGGCCTTGAGTAAGTTATCGCATTTCTCTAAGTCTCAATTTATCCATCTGTAAAATGGGGAATTAACTATAATTGAATATATGAAATAAATTAGATAGTACATACAAAGTACTTACTAGTGCCCAAGCTGGTTGCTCAGTGGTTAGGGTGTCAACCTGCAGACTGAAGGATCCCAGGTTCAATTCCAGTCAAGGGCACATCCAAGTTGAGGCTTGATCCCCAATAGGGGGCATGCAGGAGGCAGCTGATCAACAATTCTCTCTCATCATTGATATTTTTATCTCTCCCTCTCCCTTCCTTGCTGAAATCAATAAAAATATTTTTAAAGTGTTTTATAGTGATTGGTGCATAGAAAGTGTGACCTAAAAACATAGCCTATGAGCATTCTTACCATTAACCTTCATTTACTATCTCATAATGATGATGAGACTCTTCAGATGGAGTCTTTATGCTCTCAGAACAATCCCAGAGTGAGTGTTTTTTACCAAAAGAAGACCCGCACTCCCCTATATGTTCGGACTGCATATATGTGCTCACCAGAGGCTCAATAGTGAAAATGTTATTCAAGAAAAGTATGCTGTCCGCCTGAACCAGCCTTCTCTGATTCGCAAAGGTGCGGGAGAGAATGGAGATCCGTTCTCGGAGTAAAGGATCACTAACAAACTCTTCCAGAAACTCATCAGTCTCATCCTTTTCCTCTTTGATCAGATCCTCGCAGACCCTGAACGAAAACAGAAAATGTGAGATTCGTTCTGGTATTCCCATGAAGACCGTTGTAAAAGGCGCTCCCCTCCAGTCCATCCTCCTGGGAATGATCTCACCCATCACCCTGGGGCAGTCCCTCTTTGCTCTGAGTGTGTAACGTGCTACCTGAGTGATCTTATACTTTAACTTCTCAAGAGCCTCAGTTTCCCCTTTAGTCACTTCCTTCAAGAAGTCCTCCTGGGCTTCCTGTTCTCCATTTGCTTTCTCCTGAGCCCTTATGCATATTGTATTTCCGGTAATAGTGTTTTCCTAAGTTGCTGTTTAAACACTTAACATCTACTCCACCTCTCACACTTCAAGGACAACTTTGTTTCTGTTAAACTTGCTTAGCTTTCATTCTTTCTTAGCTGAAGAACAAAACTGAGAGCCAGTGAGCACTGGGTTTGGATGCTGATTCTACTGTCTATTTACTATAATAGCTCTGTGGCTTTGAGTGCCACTAAATTCCTCTATGCCTTAGTACCTTTACCTATAAAACAGGAGCTCCCTCGTCCTAAGGATGTGCTGAGGATTAAATGTGATCAAGGACCTGATATAGTTCCAGGGACAAAGTAGATACTCAATAAATATCAGTTTTCTCTCTGTGTCAAACACAGGCAATTACCAAGTTGTCAAGGGTATGAGATGCTTAAACTACATCTAAAGAAACCTTTTCTCCCTCTTTCTAGCTCTTTTTAAAAATAATTCTTTATTGTTGAAGGTATTACATATGTCCCCCTTTTCCTCTCCATTGCCCTCTCCAAACCCTCCCCCTTCTAGCTCTTCATAGCCCTTGTAAAAGTCAGAAAAGCAGCCCTCTACTCTGTCCTCACCACAGACGTGATCGCATTACTCCTGATAGCCATTACTTCACCTGAAAATTTTTAAAATATATTTTTATTGATTTCAGAGAGGAAGAGAGAAGGAGGGAGGGAGGGAGGGAGGGAGGGAGGGAGGGAGGAGAGAGAGAGAGAGAGAGAGAGAGAGAGAGAGAGAGAGAGAGAGAGAGAGAGAGAGAAACATTGATGACGAGAGAGAATCATTGATCGGCTGCCTCCTGCACATCCCCCTCTGGGGATGGAGCCTGCCTGCCACCTAGGCATGTGCCCTTGGCCAAAATTGAACCCAGGACTATTCAGTCCACAGGCCGATACTCTATCCACTGAGCCAAAATGGCCAGGGCTCATCTTAAATTTTGGAGACTTAATTTTATCTCCTCTCAGGGTATATGACCATTTTCTCCACATTTTACTGGTATTACCATTGATGAGAGACAAATTATTTAATGAGAGCCTAAGGTCAGTGAATTCCCACCCCAGGCCCAACTATTTTCCAAATGACTTCATGCAAATTGCATACTTAGCCATGTCAAATAGTTTTTTTTCTTTTGTTTTATTTTTGTTTTTTTTGATAATTTTCGTGTCTAGGTTCCTCTAGCCACGTAGCATAAAGATGTGAAACAAATGGCTCCAGTGTGTTCTGGTTCCATTCTGTGCTTCCTTTTTATTGCGTCCGGGAAGCAGCGTCCCAGGTAATGAGCAGTCCTTCTATACTGCTGGGCATAGCCGCGCAAATGAGAGAGCACTCAGTCCGCAGAAAGGAAGCCGCCAATTCCTGTGAGGGGAAGCTATAACGCCTACCTCTGGAAATCAGTCCTAAAGGAATATCACAGATGTAAGTAAAAACACAGCTACAAAGATGCTCATCAAAATGCTGGCAACAATACCGAAAAATGTGGGTAACATTTATGTAAGAGATTGAAGGGTTGGTTAAACAAATAATGGGAATCATAAAAAATTACATTTATTTAGGGGTCTAATGGGAGTGGTGTGTGGGGATAAAATGCCTCGTATGGACTAAGGACGGATGATAATGCTCCATGAACTGAAGAGTATGATTAGCTCAACCCTTGAACTAGAAAGAAAAGGAAACAGAACATAAAATTGCCAAGCACGGCTCTGCTCCCCTGCTGTTGGGACTCTGAAAGCATCAACAGCTGCATAATGCAAAGCGGGTGGGTGGAGGCTGGTCCCAGATGTCTCATCTCTGCCCTCTCATGCGGAAATGGAGCCACGGCTGAGATACTAAAAGGCAGCAACACCTTGAGCTGGGATGGCTCCAACAAGGGCTTCCAGATACCCCAGGCTACTTGGGGGGTCATTTTTCCTGCTGATCTCCATGGTCTCCTGCCTCAGGTGGTTCTGTGGATGAGGACACCTCTCATCAGAGAGCTTACCAACACACCAGCCTTTTCTCTCAGTTAAAATCATGGATTTAACCCATTTTCCAAATGGTCTGGCAGCCACCAACCCCCACCACCTTCAGGCCTCAAGCAGAGTTCTGCCATGGATTAGAGTCAAGGGGGAAGACCTGTGTCTCGGGTATAATTAGCATTCAACCAGTAATGCTTCCTCATCTTCAGGAGCTAGATACCTGCTCCTTGGCAGCACCCCGAAGAGATGATAACTGGATGCAGCACCCTGAAGAGATGGGAACTAAAAGCCATGGCTTTCACAGCTGGGAGAAATACTCCCATGTCCACACCTGGGTTATAGCCATCCACCTTCAAATGGACCACGTGACCCTGGTCACTGAGCACTCTGTGATGACTGTTATAAGCTGAGGACGAGAGGTCCTCTCCCTGTTTATCAAATACCACTCAAGATTAAACTTATTACTCCCTGGGTGGCAGGCCCAAAGCCCAATTAAAACTGCTCTATCTAGAGAAACATGTATTTTGCCATTTCTGAATGTTGTGGAATGAGTCCATGCTGACTACTTGTGGGAGTCCACTGAAGACTGCGGGAGCCTGCACAGAGTAAATCTAGAATTTGAGCCAGCTGCTCTTGAGACAATGGTCACAACCTTCATGGAGAAGTGAGGAACCGAAATCCTCAAAAGCCCACGCTGAGTCCGATGAGAATGAGTATGAAAGAATCTTATGGTAATGTTTTATAATGCCTCCAGGATAAAGGGAAGGAAGGAAGGTGGGATGAATGCTGCCTCCATTTCTGAAGAGATTAATTTCTCTACAAGTCCCAGAAAAACATCAAAAAGGCAAAGACCCAAAAGGCAATTTTTAAGCCCTCTGTGTCTCCTTCCGAAGGTTTAAATAAAAGTGTGTGTGGGGAGGGGGAGGGGGGAGATTTAAAGTCCAGAATTTCTTCCTAGGGGGAGTGACATCTTCATTGTTAGAATCTGGAGCCTGGGGTTAGCTCACAGTCCCAAATCTGGACATGTGTCATAAGGTTGGTACCAACATGCTGAGGTGTGTGGAGAGAAAGTCATCATTCCTAGAATGAAAAGGATAATTTCCAGAAAATGATAGTTCCCAGAAAGGAACTTCCTTCCTTGAGGAGAGCTGAAATTCCTCCACTGGGAGATCAGCAAGATGTTGTGGCCAACAAACCACAATGGCTGGAGTGGGGTCTTGAGGGTACCAGTTAAAGCAGTTAGCAATCTCAATGTAACCCCTGAGCAACTTCCAGCTCCTATAAGATGAATGCCTTAGGACAAGGTGTAAGCCATGTTATAGTCGGAAAGCAGTGGGTAGACTCCCAAGTCTCACTTAAAAATCTGCACTGATGTTTTAAATCGTAGGTCCTTGGGATGCTGCGAGGGAAACTTTAGTCTCTCAAAGTATGCATGAGACCATTTAGAATAGGTCCTCTCTGTCCCAAGTTCAGGACCAAAGTCAACCTTCCTCTCTACATTTTTAACTACAAAGGTTGCAGAAGGAAAAAAAAGGGGTAAATTGCTCATCACCAGAAGCAGGAGAGTCAAACATGAAGAGGACTATTCTGGGGATACCTACACTGGCCTTGTTGGGGAGCTCAAGAGAAGATTTATACCATTAGCTAAAGATCTGACTGCTACTTCTCGGGGATGAGCAAACCACTGACCACAAGCAAGCTACCAGAGAACATCCTGCTTTGCCTGACACTGCTGTGTGGCTTGAGTTACAAGTTGAGGATTTGTGACTTAGAGGAGAAGAAGGTCCATACTCACAGCAAGAGCACTGCCACCTACAGAGGGGTAGCTATCCAGAGATGGGAACTAAATGTTCAGTTCAGTAAACAACAAACCTCTCTGTAATTGACTTTTTTTTTTTTCTAGAGGATGGGCATCTCATAGCTAGTTATGTCCAGGATAAGAATCCATGACTAATAATATAAGTTGTGGCATGTTTGAGGATGCATTAAGGAACAAGAGAGGGATGTGAGAGAAGAGATTAATCTAGTCAAATAAGATATTAGGCATAAATGGCCTATTTCCCCTTTAAATCAATTTCCCTTCACGTCCCAGGCATCTGGCCCTAGGAGAGGGGGGAGAAAGGTAAGGAATGGAATTTCCAATAAACTCTTCACATAAATCAACCAACCAGTTTGGAAAAACATGAGTTATGTTGCTATGTCCAGTGAAAATGGAACTATTCTTATCTAGCCATATGATGCCACTTTTCAAGTTCATTGTTTAAGGGAAGGGCATGATCCTAGATTAAAAAAAAAACTAGGCTTCTAATCATGGTTATGAAAATGCCATCCCATATTAAGCCCTTGCTACCAAAAAAAAAATTGCTAGATGAACTAATGAAAGAGCAAAAGAGATGGTGAAAGAAAGATAACATAAGAGAAAAGGAATAAGACTCAATGAGGATAACATTAAAGAGATAAGGGTGTGAGTGTCTGGGAAGGTGGAATGGGGAAGGGGCGGGGAGAGAAATATCCATCCACATGTGGTTGAAATTATCTACTCTATATCTTAGCATCTCTGAGAGCAATTGGTTTGAATTCTTCTTGAGTTTTCCTGTTGACATTAACATCCTTAAATATTTTTTTTTGGACATAAAATATATCCTCTATATATAGTCAAATACATAGGCGTAGTTGAATTGAAAGCTGGCTTCCCCTCTGATAGTGTATATTCATTTTCCTCAAGAGATTATTATGCCTACAAGACAAGCAGGTTATGTAAACACTGCATTAACTACTACTCCTTTGCTCTCGCATCTTATCTTTAAACCTGCTTGGACCATTCTGGTTGATGGTACACATCAGCTGGGGGAATCAGGACCAAGGAAGCAGTGGATGACCAGTTTTCTCTTACCTTTCTCAACTCCTGGTGCTTCTATACCATGAGGCCAATGAAAGTTTTTAGGCAGGAAAGGCTTTTCTTTTCTCACTTTTTTAAAGATGACACAGTGGCAATCCAGTGATTAAAGCTCCCTGCCTGAATAATGAGGCTTCTGGTTCCTCTGTGTCCTGTCATTGTCCCAGCTCCTTCTGATTCAATTAGGGGCAGCACAGTGGGGGATTGCTGCCTGGTTTCCATGGACCTAAGACTTTTATTTTTATCACATACTAACTTGGTTTTAAACAAAGCTTTGAAGCTTCCCAGGGCTAATCTTTAATGAAATTGGAGAAGCAAATAAAAAAAGGCTGAATAAATCCAAATGAAAGCAGCAAAGGTGCTAATTTGGGGAGGATGAAAGGAGTTTAAAGGGGCAGGGGTAGATACAGAAAAAAGAAATATTCAAAATTTAATATTGAAGAGATTAGTTAAAATAGTTGAGTTTTCTATTTTATTAACTTTCTGTACTGCCTAAAGTATCACTTTAAAAAGCAGAAATTAAAGATAACAACAAAAAAATCATTAAATTACTAGTATATGGTTAGCAGGGATTCAGCAATGCTACTAAAACTGGGAATATAAAAGCTGTAATATCTAAGCCCTTCTTTTTCCTCATTCTTTCTATTTTCTAGAAATACCTTTTCATTAAAAAAAAAATCCACATTGATCCCAAACCAAGAGAGATTATTTTCAGAAACCTATGACACTTGATCAATCTGAATAGGTCTATGAAATGAAATACAGATGTATATGTTAGTTTTGAGGAAACAGTGAAGAATTTTATATTTGGTCTTCAAAATCCAGTAGTTTGGCTAGTGATAAATTATAACCAGGTTAAGATTGACTGATAATGGACAACATTGTGTTTGACATAGTTCAATTCAAGTTCTTTCAATGAAAAAAATGAGCATTGTACACTGGAACCAAGCTATAAAAATTTGATATTGCTGAGTTGGTTAAAAAGTTACCACGAAAGTCACTGACTTTTCATAATTAACTGAGCTTTGTGTTTCCCCAAATTATAGCACCGAGGTGATTTTTCTTACAAACCTATACTTTTCTTTATCTTCCTCTTCCTGGGTAGGAAATACCTTCCACTGGAAATGGGCAATGATGTTACTGCGGTTGTAAATAGTTATAGTTCTCTGATTGGCCAGAGATATGTAGGTTTTCTCAATGATCAAAGAATTCTTGTCCAGCCTTATATTCATGTCTATGGCAGCTCCATACAGAGATACAAACATTTTTTCACCTGGAAATTAACAAAGTAAACACACTTTGAGATTAGTTCTAGAACGATATTACTAGGCTTTTCCCTCCCCTCCCACCCCAAAGGTGAAGTTAGGGAAGATTGCACAAGGATTACACATTTCATTCTTTTCCCCAGAGGTCAGATATCATTAGTAAACTTCAATTATGTTTGGTGCAATTATAAAGAATCAAATCTTGCTTAATATGAGTTGTTGTGGTAGTTGTTACATGACTTTTTCTTCTTTGTGACAGTTTTGAATCCTACAGCCCAACCATGAGGTCAACTGAGTTCTAGAATTATAACCATTTGCCTCATCTCCATTTCAAACATGAGCTGGATTTCTGATTCTTAAAGTAACTGTACCAAGTATATCTGGGAAGAACTGCTCAGCATGAGAGGATCTAAGTCCAAATCAAAGGGAATCAGGAAGGAAATTCAATAACTTCATTAATAGAAAACAGACTATTTAAGAGAAGCCACATCCCTAGATAACGGCAATTAAACTAAAACAAAAATGAAACACACATACACACACTACAAAAACAGAAAGACAAAAGCTATGTTTATCATTTAAAATTCTTTTCATGTTAAAGAACACCTTCATTCAACATAGTAATTTATCTCAGACTTCATTTAAGATGCACAATTGCCTTAATTCTAGGTATAGACAGGAGGGCCCCATTTCCAAGAAGACACAAACCTGCCCTCTGTAATGTCATGGGAAATAGATAGAAAAGAAAATCCTTAGATACTATGAAAGTTCTGTTGATCTGTAGTGCTAAAGCTTTAATCAGCATCCAGAAAGCATAATCATTTGCACTTTATTTTTTTAGCAAACATTTTTGTTCCATTCACATTTGTACGAACCAAGCAGCTAGTTAGTAAACTGACAACAATATACATTTTAAATGTATATTTCCTACTAAAATAACTTAAATATCTGAACAAAATATGAATAAACATCTTTTTAAAAGGCACTTCAGAGCTATTGTGATGGAAAGGAACTACTGGGCCAAAATTAAAGGAAAAACAGGATCCAAAGAAATAAATAAGGATGGAAATTTTGTTTTGACATGAAGACATGCTCCTCTTGGCAATTTTGAGCTGCCATTCTTGTGAGGGCAGGAAAGTTAGAAATCAACGCCTAAAAATGGGGAAACTTGAGATGAAAAAGAAAAAAAAAAAGATCCTCCCTAATAAAGCTGATCCTCAATCCTCAGAGAACTGTACATTCAAGATGAGGGTAGCCCTAGTTCAGAGATAAATATTATATTGAAATTGTCTATGTTTTTCAGATAACTTTAAGTATTAAATTTGGTGGTCATAGGATAGCTTTGCTCTCCAAAACAAAGCATAACAAAACCAACTTGTCTCTTTTTGGAGAAAGGTACTTGCACCCAAAGTTTCAAAATTTTCAACATTGCAAAAAAAAACAAAACAAAAACATAGCCAAACATAATGAGACATGTTTAAAATAACAACAACAACAACAACAAAAACTCAGTAAGTTAGAACCTGAAGATACAAGCCAAACAGAAACAGATCCACAAAGAATCAGATAGTAGAATCATAACATCTAGACTATGCTTAGTAATTTAAAGGAAAAAAAAGGATGAGCTTAACTATATGTAAGGGAACAGAAAAATTTTAAAATCTAGAGAATTTGAAAAAGAGCCATATTCTTGGTTCTCATAGAAATAAAATAAAATAACCAAAAAATGTAAAAACTATAAGAATAAATAAATAAAGTCAAAACAGAGCCAAATACTTTTGGAAGGTATTATATTATAAAGACAGTAAATCAAAACATTGGTTTAATGATATATTTTGTTTTTAAAGAAGTGATATTGGACAACTTAGCAACCATATGGAAAACAACATCAGAATAAAAGCTAAATGAATCAAATATTTCAGTGTTTAGTATAAAACCATAAAAGTACAGGAAACTTTTTGATAACTGTAGAGGGAAAGTTTTCTAACTTTGACTCAAAATCCACATCCCTCTAAAAAAAAAAGACTAGAAAAGTAACTACATAGAAATGACAAAAGAAATTCTGCGTGGCACAAATGTTTATAAGCAAAAACAAAAGAAGAAATGGGTGAAATATTTGCAACTATGTCTGAGACAAAGGTATTAAATCTCTAAATATATAAATAGCTTTTAGAAATCAACAAGACAATCCAATAGAAGAATGGAATTGTGAAAAAGGAAATACAAAGGCCCCCTATATGCATTAACAGATGCACGGTTTCACTCATAATAAAAGAAATACAAAAGAGATGTAATTCTATACCATTTCCCCCATCAGATTAGTAAAACAAAACAAAAATTTGAGAACATAATTTGTTGTCAAGGCTAAGGGGAGACGGCACTCTCACACACTGTTGGAGGGGAGGAGGGGGGAATACATATGGTTCCATTCTTCATGGAGTCTTATTTGGTGACACAGATCTAAATATCTATCAAAGTTATAAAACTATGAATCCTCTGGCTCACTTTTAGGAATTTATGCCATGGACAAATCAGAACAAGATCAATGGTAGTCAATACAGCATTGTTCTTAATAACAATAGAGTGAAAATAGCCCAAGTATACCCACCAGTAGAAGGCCAGTTAAATAATCTGTGCTACATCTGAAAGTGAAATACTGTGCGGGTTTGGAAATGTGCACAGTGATATGGAAAGATCTCCAGGACATATTATTAAGTAGAAAAAAACAAGGTTCAGAACAATTTATACAGCATGTTGTTTTGGATAAGTGGGGAATGCAATTATTCATTCATGTTTGCATCTATTTGTAAAAAACACTGGGAAGCTATGCAAAAAAAAAAAAAAAAAAAAAAAACACCACACAATAAAATAAAAGCAAGGTGGGGTGAATGAGATAGGATGGAAATAACACCTTTCAACATATACTTTTAAATATATTGCTTTAATTTCTGAATATATGAATGCATTGCTTATCCAATATTTTAATGTAAAAATGGATTTATAGGGCCTCAGGAAACTTTTAAAGCTTCTAGATAGCACTAGTGATGAGAGAAATATAAAATACCATTTCATAACCATTCAAAAGAAATGAGTATAGCAAAATGGTGAGATACGTTAAACATAATGGTTGTTGATTATATCATGTCTGTGCTTTTGTGGTTATTCGAAATAAAGGGGAGGGGGAAAGTAGGTTTACAGGTATTCATATGAAAACATACAATACAAGAATAAATAGTAATACAAGAATAAACTGTATGTCTCACATACTCAAAACTGGAAGCATACTTTTGCCCACCCTGTATTTCATTGGTTAAAAGTCCTGGGGAGGGCCCAAGAGGGAGGCAGGAGAAGTCAATGGGGGAGAAAAGGAGAACGTCTGTAATACTTTCAACAACAAAGATACATATTTTTAATCAAAGAAAATATTCACACAGATCCAGGGGGTCAGAGAGACCAAGGTTATTCATTGTAGTTGCTCACCACAAAACTGTCCCTTCCCAGAAACACAGCGAGAGCAACTACAGTCTTTTCAAGAATGATTAATCTAATCATTTTCTTCACCACCATCTTCCAAAAAATCATCAGGTCCACAAAGTGAAAGAAACAATGACTCTTGTCTTATCCCTATGGGTGTTGAAATACTTCTTTGTTATACCCCCTTTCCTGAAGAGAACCCTAAAAGGGGTCCCGAGCCCCCAGCTACTTAGAAGGATGATGGGCTGGAGGTGTGAGGCCTAAAAGAACGTATAAGGTGGCTGTGCTCCAGTACTTCTGTGTCCTTGAGTGCCTGTTTCCACAGTGTTTCTTTTGGGGTTTCTGGGGTTGAACAGTGCAGTTATTGTAGATGAGATTAGCTACCATCATTTATTCGGTCCTTGTAAAGATCTATTTTGTGGAAGGTCTCATTACCTCTTGCCAGTTTTGCCACTATCCATCTAGTAAGAACAAATATGAACAAAACTAATTTTACCAAAAAAGGTGAAGTCAGCTGTAGACACAATACATTTCATACTGTGGTTTCAGTACTTTCAGACAGCAGAGGACGGTTTAAAAAAATATATGAGTGGAGCCCTAGATTCTCCAGGGCAGCGATTTTCAACCTTTTTCATCTCCCGGCACAAATAAACTAATTACTAAGATTCTGTGGCATACCAAAAAATATATTTTTTTGCAGTTCTAACAAAAAAAAATAGATGGAATTTTGATTCATTCACACCAAATGGTTATTGTGTTGGCTGCTGTCATTTTTTAAAATTTGACAATCTAAAGGAAAAGAGGTCAGTGCCCATGACTGAATAGTCAGGTTTTAACAATTCTTGTGGGACGTCAGTGTTGAAAATTGCTGCTCTAGAAAACTAACAAGTTGGTGGATGGAGTATTTCTCATCCCTTGGTCACAGCAGGGTCAAATTCACCAAATCAAGTGAATTGCTGAATCAAACTTCTGTGGAAGTGCTTTGAAGGGTTTAAGAAACAAATTAGGGAACTTGATTGAGCTCACCCAGCACACCAGTGGCAATGCAAAAATCAGTATTTCCAATCTGCATGGAAGGCAGTGTGGGGTTATAGAAAGGGCGATGGTCTCAGATGGGGTCAGAGGCCTGGGTTCAAGTTCCAGCTTTACTTAAATATACAATCACTGAATGTCTCTGGGCCTCATTTTACTGATCTCTACAATGAAGGGAGTTAAAGAGAGGTACTCTAATGTCCTTTTACATACTAGCACGGAATGAATTGTGAGTCTTTACATCCTGTGTAATTGACAGAACTTTCATTCCACTTCCCTAAACAATTCCTAAACAAAAAAAATATATTTTTTGCCGATAAACATAAAATTTATTCTTGTATTATATGTTTCCATACAAATAACTGTAAGCCTACTTTTCCCCCTCCCCTTTATTTCAAATAACCACAAAAGCACAGACATGATATAATCAACAACCATTATGATTAACATATCTCAACATTTTGCTATACACATTTCTTTCGGATGGTTATGAATTGGTATT